GAATAGAAACAACCTAGGATATTTAATAAATCATGAAAGACTCATGTAAATTGCATACAAAGGTATATATTCCCTTGTTACTACTTTCAATAAAGTAAAAGCAAGCAAATTAAGAAACCGAATAAAAATACGTTGTTTGGGACAAACCGAATATTTCTGACTTCATTATTGCCTCATAAATAAGAGCAAATAATGTCATTGGTCTGAAGGTTACGAATCTACGGATCATTACGGGCTCAAATAAATGTATAATAAGACGTTGAAGATATTCGCAAACTCAATGAATATATGAAAGAAAACGAATCCCTACAAAGAACCTCGCAGCATTTGATAAAAACAGGCTGCGAAAATAAAGTAATGGTATAAGGAAAACTTCATCTTTTCAAAATCCTTCTTTTTTGTCATACTCACACTCTCCTCATCCTCCACCTTAGCTGACATTCGAGCACGAAACTGTAACACATAGTCACGGTAGAGACGACGAGCAGCAGCGTTAGCCTGTCGGGCATCTCTGAGCTCTGCCCGAACAGCATGCCATTCAGAGGTTCGGAGACGCTGCTCTCGAAGCCTATGGGCTGCAGCTGATTCCTTATCCAAAATAGCGATTCTCGTCCGGACTCGGCGATCAAGGTCAGCAAGTTCATTTAGGTGACCTGCTGTGGTTAAGGATCGTGGTAGGCTTGCTGTGCTACTAGCATTCCCCATAAAGTGGGCTAGCTCACGTTCCTTGGCTGCTCGATAGTCAAGAAGTTGGGCTGAGTCAAAAAATGAAGAGGATTACATTTGAGACAATCAAATATAGAAACGATTTATCAAAAAGGAATATTGACAATATCCAGTTTACTAGGACAGATAAGCAGGTAAATTCGGGTAGCGTGATGGGATCGATCACAATACCACAAGTTGCTCTATTAGTGCTGATCCTGTTTGATGTTACATTTTCAACTCGAATTTGATCATGACAACTTAGAATAAACAGCTAATGAGATATGTAAGGCTT